TGTTATCTTTCACACTTAATTAATTTATTCATCATCATGAAGAAGTATGATTTATTATTTGACACATGACAAAGATGTAATATAAGTGAATAATATACAAAAATTTACATTTTTTTTTTTTTTATGATCGGTAAAGACTCTTATTAAAGACAGAAATATAATGTCTAATCCTAATTGATAGAAATAAACAATATAGTTCTTGTCAAGTAAAATTCATATATAATCATGCATCATTTAAACCTTCTTAATTTAACTAGCTAATTAAGCTAGCTATTCCCTCCATAGATTCAAGTCCATGGTAAAATCATCCATGTTTTCCCAGTCAAATCCTATTCGAATAGGCGGTGGTGTTAGAATCAAACCCTCAGCCATGCTATCTAGTAATGCTGGCATGTTAAACAAAGCCTCCTCGTCCAAGAACAGTGCGTTTGGGGCCTCATCAGTCACCTCGAAAACCTTCTTCCCATCATAATCATGATCACTTGAAGGAGCAATTATTTGAGTTGTCAATGAACAAGAAGAACATATAGAGGGTTTATATGCCTTGGCAGCTTCAAGAGCAGCTAGACGTATATCCCTCGGGGAAGAGGACTTTGCTCTTGGAAGAACAATAGCTGAATTAGGAAAATTCAGGAGGGCAAGGTCACCCTTAAGCGCTAGGGCAGCAACATCATGTGCCCTAGCTGCCATTTCAGGGCTGGCAAAAGTCCCTAGCCATATCCTTGACTTCTTGTTAGGTTCCCGAACTTCACACACCCACTTGTTCCCGTTTCTCCTCCTCACGCCTCTGTACACTGGGTGGCGCGTTTCCTTGAACTTCTTCCTCCCCGCCCTCCTCTTCTCTGGCAAAGATGACTCTAAATTAGGGTTGACGTCGTCCATAGATGAAGAAGAAGAAGATGCTGATGAATCGTAATCAAAATTCATTTTTACGTATACTTGAACTTGATGATCATGAAGTGAAGAGAGAGTATAGTATTTATAGTGGGAGTACATGGTATTAACGTGGGTCAGGGAAATGGACCGCGGATCGAGATTATCGACACACGGAGTGGAATTTGAAGTATGAACTGAGATGATGGTAGTTATGTGTTGGCCATTTTAATTTGCGCATGTGAAAAATGGAGGAGGGATCTTTGGGTTTTAATAAATATCAGAATGTGCTTTATCAATAAATAAATATATAAATTTCAAAATGTGGCAGATAAGAGGGTGGGTTGAACAAGTCCAACAAGGATTATACCCAGGCTTACGCCTTAACCCCACCTGGTTGCCCCTTGGCCCATTATTTAAGACCTTTGTTCCAAAAGTATGGTTATGATTATTAATTTATTTGTTAATTAATATTATTAAAATTATATTTTATTTAATTGATATATATTTGTAGTTTTTTCTATAAATAAATAGTTATATAATCTATAAAAATATTTGTTTATAAATTAATTTTAGTTTATTAAATAATATATATTAGTTGTTTTTATTAATAATTAATTATTTTTAACAATTAAAAAATTAATGTTTTTCTAATACAATTTTAGTAATCTTAACAAAAGAATTGATAATCATAACCACGCCCTAACCCCAATTGATACCCAATGTCAATGCCACATAAGCTCAAAATTTTGATGTGGCATGTAGGTCTCATATTAATTTAAACTTAAAAAATAAAATAAAAATGATTAAGATACAATTTTTTGTATACAACATTTTCATTAATACCTTAAATACCATTTAATTATGAAATTAACTTTCTTTTTAAATTTAAATTAAGAAAAATGATTCAAAAATAGTTTTTTTATATTACTTTTTAATAGAATTCTATATATTTTATTAAATAATTGATTCTTTTTATTTGTTTAAAATCTATAATATTAAGTATTTCTATTCAGTTAATATCATATAAAAATTAGATTAAAAAATTATTTCCATATCAGTACATTTAATGTGTGATCACATGCCACGTGAGCATTTTGAGCTTAAATGGCAAGGACGAGGCATGGGGCAAACAAAGATGGACGGTTCCTTCCATCTTGGGTCATTTCCCTTAGTGACGTGCTGCACGTGCACTATATGGGCTAATTTATTTATACTGTATGTTGTGGGGCTAAAGGTCTCAAGGAGGATAAGTTGGAGCGCCGTAAAAGTTAAGCCACATCATTTGCATCTTTTGACTTCTGATGGGCAACCGGTTAATTTAGACACCTAAGTTTCAAAAAGAGTATAATTTACTAATTATTTTGTATTTTTTTTAGAAATTTTAATTTAACTTTCACATCCAGTACAATTGAATCATCTTGGCCTCTAATGATGTGCATTCTCTATAATTTTTAATTATATTATGGAATAAGTTGCATATACGAATTAAAATAACCATTAATTCGGTTTTCTCTCTCTCAAAAAACAAAAAGAAAAGAAAAAAAATGAGAGAGAAAAAAAAGAAACATTGAGGTGATTTTTTTATTATTATTTATGTTGATTGTATAACGAGAGGTAATAATTTTTTATTTTTTATTCTATCCTACATGTATGTCATATGACTTGAAGAATTCAAAATGACTTATTTTTAATAAAAAAAATTATCACTTAATTATTTAAATCGTTAATAAAATATTGAGATGTTATTCTAAGAACAAAGAGATAGAAATTGAAAATTGAAAATTGAAAATGAAAGCTACCTGTATTTCCCGGGTTAAATTTGGTTAAAACTGTACCAGGTGGCCGTCAACAGTCAACAGACGTTGTTGTCTGGTCCCTTCCAAAATTATTTCCTTACCTTCTAATCATGTGCATTCTCTGTCATTTTTAATTATATCATGGTTTCAATGATTTTTTTTTTTTAAATCATTCTTGTGTGAACATATAGAAGGAAAAAAAAAAAGATTCTCGTGTGGAATTTGGGGATGGCATCAGCTAAAAGATATGTGTTTCTTTTCCTCTTTCTTGGTATAGGGTTAAACCTATGTACAAGTGATATATATGTAATTATGCGTAATTTTTACACAAAATTTTGATAGTTTATTTTTTAAAAGTTAATTATGACTATAATTTTGTGTGTAAGAGAATCTTATTTCTTGTATATGTATATATATAAGTATATATTCATTCCCTATATCTCTTAAAAATTAAAAAAAAAGTTATTCAAAAACTACAGTATTTAAAATTTTGTATTATCAACATACTAAATAAGTATATTAAATTATTTTATGTAATCAACATATTAAATAGGTATATTAGATTAATTTAAAAATCCACATGCACATATTACAGAGCTAAAATATGATACTTTTGGAGATGTTTTAGAGATATATCTTTCAAAAAGATGAAAATTTTTGGTCAAAATACTAATTTAGTCCCTTAACTTTTTGATTTATATTAAAATTATCTTTAAACTTTAAAAAATATCAAAATTATCTCAAAATTTAAATTTTTAGTACCAAAGTAGTCATTTTGTTAATAAAAGTGTCATGTGACTTATTATCTTATTACAAAATTCATTCTTTTTAAAAATATTAATGATATATAAAATCAGATAATCATATTTTATCACCGTAATATTTTTTTATTTACACATTAAATTAATATATAATTGAAGTTAAAGAACCAAAATAGTACTTGTAGTCAAAGTTTAAAAACTAAGTTAATACTTGTTTTCAAATTTTAAGGGCTTAGTTGGCACTAAAAATTAAAGTTCAAAAACAATTTTAGTATAAAAAATTAAAATTTAGAGATAGTTTTGATATTTTTTAAAGTTTAAAGATATTTTCAATTACAAATCTAAAAAATTGAGGGACCAAATTAATATTTTAACTAAAATTTTTCCCTATATATTATTATATATCTACTGATTGTGGGTCTATCGCTATTTCTATTTTTTAGCAGAAAAAAAGTCAAGGTCAGAGAGTTCACTCTGCTGTTTAAATATTTTATTTTATTTTTACCATATTATTATTGTTCTGTTCATAAAAAGCGTGCTCCATGATATTTAATAATGGAGGTGGGGTATATGAAAAGCCAAGAATACGACCACCCACAAAACGTTTCAAGAATTAGAAAACGTTCATTGCCTATTTTTTCAAAAATAAAAATAAATAAAAAATAGAAAACGTTATTCATGCTTTCCTCATAATAATAATTCTGATTCTCTCGATATCTGGCTAATAAAAGAAGAATATTGAAGAAGGCCTGTCTGCCGGTCTACTGGCCAATAATTTAATGTAAATTTTTTTGATTATAACAAGAGATGGGTCTCTTTCTCCATTTCTTTCCCTCCCAACCACTTGTTTTAATAAAAAAAAAAAAATCAATTGTTTTAACATATATCCTTAAAAATATAAAATACATATTAAACTTATAATTAATTTATTTTTTTATGTCAATGATCTAAGTAAATTAATGATTATCTCATTCTATTGAAAGTAAAAAATTCTGAATTCGAATAACATGACATACGAGTGAAATATGATAAAAGATGAAAAATAATTGTCTTTCATTGTGTAACTAAAATAAAAAATTTATTATCTTGCAATTAATTTATATAAAAATATAAATATGAAATTTATTTTTTTTATCAACAAAAAATATAAAATTTAATTTAATCAATTAATTAATTAAAATTATTTAAGTTTCAATTCTGTTACAAAGGGCACCTTAGACAAACCCTAAAAGAAAATGCCAGCCGCCCCTGCATACCCAACAATATTTATGCTCGACAAAACATATCCTTATTAGAAAGCTTAATATAAAGATGTATCACGTTTATATTTGTCGTTGTTGATACATTCCAACGAAAAGTACTGTTCATTCCAGTTCACAGAATCAGAGCAATCAGTGAACCCAATCATTCATTACAACTAGGAGGAGTTTTAATTCTTGTTGTGATGCTGCTATTGCTAAGCAGGGACGTCTCGAAGCTTCCTGAGATGAGAGACACGTTTTCGATGGCCTCGCCCTTGTACATGTTGTTCCCACTCATGTGCTCCCCGCAGTGTCCTATCTCCACAAGCCTGTTAATAGACAAATTAAATGCTAAAATGTGCTCAACCCAGAAGCTCCAATGAAATTGCCAGCAGAGTCTTAGGTGGTTTCTAACACAAACGTTAACGAAAAATCATGCAGATTTCCTGTAATTTTGAAGCATAGCTGACCTTGCATACATATTGTGTCCATAGATCTCTATGGATTGAATTTGTTTTAGTTTTGTTTGTCTCCTCCAGATTGAGCTCTGACCTTGCATCTTCATTAAGGAAAGATCTGATAATTTTAGCAGCAGGTTCTACCACTTGTTCTGCCCAGCACTCATCCAATTTGCCTGGAAAATAGATGTAGTTGATGTGATTCACTTGAGAACCTTGAATACAGGTTTTTCCATGGAAAAAATGACTCACACAACAGACAGAATTCCAAAAGGGCACCTGAAATTGAGTCTGTAGAATCAACATAGTGAATGGTCCATCCAAACAATGCTTGGAGCCGCTTGAGCCTCCTTTTCTGTGAAGCAAAATTCTACATGTTAATTCATCTTTCAAGACTGACAGCCACAGGACTCATTGTTTCTGTGGTAAAATATTCAGATACATGATTTCACAAATGTTCAAGAGATAGTCAGAATTAAACTTAAGTTGAACCCTTTCTGTAAGGACCATAGCAGCTAATGTTAAAAGACCAAAATCGACAGCCCAAAATTTTAGTGTCACGATTGGATATAAAGTCCAAGCAAAATAGAGTATTGGATAGAGTTTTCAACATGTATTCCAAGCTACCAAAATCATGAATATAAGAGAAAACTTACTTGACGACGAACAAGTCTTCGTGTATTTGCCTTTACATTGCCAATAGCATCTTCTAGGAGAATTTTATGTTGATTGTCATTGGAGGAATTTAGTATCGCCCTTATGTTCTCCTTCAACATTTTATCACCCACCCTTGTTGAAAGCATTGATGGGGAGTCCTTTGAAGAATCACTAGCATCATTAGTCCTGACTCCAGAGAGGTAAATTCTAAGAAAATTTTCAAATTCTCTGACACCAATGGCCTGCCTCAATCCTCGAGTATAATCTGCATTCACATTGTAAATGTTGTAGACTTCACCAAGCAACCCAGAATCTATCATGCAGTCTACTCTCTGTTCTACATATTGATCTAGTTCTGGATTTGCCGCATCAACACATATAAAACAGCAATTGTATCTAAAATCACCAACTTGACCCCAGTTCTGCCCTGCCACATAGAAGATTTCAACAAAATTTTAAAGTACATATCAAGATGGTTTCATCTCCCATAAAGAACTATTCATCTAATCTAAACAACTATCATTTCTTTCTAGGCAGGTCTTCAATTTTTGTTTTTTTTTTTTGGGAAAAAAACTTAATAGAAGTTAAAAATAAGAATTTAGAAGAAAAAGCAAAATTAGATCAAGATTTGTAATCATATTTAGTCATTATCCATAAGTATGAATCAATAAAGAGAACCAACCTCTGCAGCCTTTCCTTGATAAAGCTCACTGGGCAGGATACCAGTTCGAGAATACAGATCAAGATATTGATTAATCTGCAAAAGCAAGCAGAAAGAGAATAATGTTGAAAGCACATCACCAGGATTAAAACATAGCAACAGAAACTCAAGACACAATTTTGAGAACAATAGATATACAAATTGTTTATACAGAAAACAAATGAAAAGTTAATTCTTACTTTTCGATGGTTATTCGGATGAATTCTGTTAGCTGCAACTGGATCAAGGTCTTTGAGAATGTCATAGTTGCAACTGTCTCTCCCAAAGTTATCCCCATAATCTTGATGGTTATTCAGATGAATTCTGTAGTTGCAACTTTGTCTTCTAAAGTCAGGCCCACAATCAGTCTGCTCATCTTCTGTGGCATGCATCTAGAAGTTAAACTGTATACTTAATACTTGAGGATACAAATAAAAATCAACAAATTTGGCACATACCAGAAGGATCAGTTGAACATATTTCATCCACATCTTCTAATGAATCATCTATAAGGAATGAACTAACAAGAGCCTAGACAAAGAATACAAAATTTAAATTATTAACAGTGTCCTATAGCACATTTACTACAAACATACTCTTGCAAAGAAAAGAGAGATAAACAGACAAAAACGACAAATGAAGAAAATTCACATCAGGCATTATACCCAAATGTAATTATACAGACAATAAAAACCACACTGATACTTCCAAAGTCCTCGGAAGAAAACAAAATTGGTTTTTTCAAAACAATGGTAGAATGTTATTATTTGAAGCATGAACACTATCTTCATAGACAAGAAATGACTTAAACAAGGACAATCATATAACCTCCAGCAGAGTTTGCTAGAGATTACTGATGGCAGCATGTAGCAAACACATACCTGTATATAGTAATTCGTACCTCCAACAATGACTGGCAAGCATTTGCGTGAAAAAATGCCATTAATGATCTGAAAATGTAATTGCAAGATTAAGCATATACAAGAAGAAAGAAACAAAGATTGTCTAGACTCTAGATTACATAATGATTAGCTTCCTAAGCTATGACACTTGAGATTCAAATTTACCAAAAAATCAAAAAAAATAAATAGTCTAACAAAATTGCCCCAAAAGAAAAATTGATTGGGAAAGAAAGAAAAGAAGGTGAATTTAACTCACAGAAATAGCAGAATCACGAAAGCTCTTAGCAGTGAATTCCACGTTCGGGCTTACAGTACCCAACAGATGATGCGGCACTCCTGTACAACACCAAAACAAAGTCAGAAGCTTCCAGAATCATCAAAACTTTTTAAGTAACTAATAAAAACAACAAGGGCAGACAAAGGATTCATATATATGCAATATACAGACCCTTTTGTTCATGGAGCGGGACCTTATTGGTGAGGACGTCGAGACCTTCATAGACCTGCATGGAATCAGCATTGATTATCTCGATAGGAAAATGGGCTGCCAAATCAATGGCCAGCCGTGATTTGCCTGAACCTGTTGGACCCATAATCACCAACACCTTCGGCTTCTCTTCCTCCTTTCTGGGTCCTCCATTGCTAGGGTTTGAACCTCTCTGCAACTCACTGCTACTCTCCATCTCCAGTTTTCCTCTTCTCTTCCTCCGAAAGTCGAACCTTCTCCACGCAAAAAATGCCACCGGTGTAAATAAATTAGGCCCATATTTCTCTAACATAAAATAATAGTAAGGCCCAAAAGGCCCAATATTTCTTTTTTGAACTCGATTAGGTCAGTTTTGGTCCTTTTATGAATTCTCAAGCCCATAAGTCTATCTAAACGAATTTGTCCTAGGTACCAAATTGACAAATGACAGGTATGGAATTGATAAAATTTTTCATCTAATCATATCCAATGCTGATGACTTATTCAATGAACAAAACAGTTACAATCCAAATTGTACACATCTATAACTTTTGTACTCTTTGGCAAGCATATAGAGAAATGGAGTAGATAAGGATGTTGATGTTAATATTTTTTTTTTTTTTGTATGATCATCCGGTATTTAGAAGCTCATTGGGCCATTGACTAATCCGGATTCGAGCCGGGCAGGACTTAATGGGTGACAAAACTCTCCCTCATGAATTTTAACGGAGCTGCATTCTCAGGGTTTGAACTCAAGACCTCTAATTAAGTTGGAAGAGTCCCAGTTAACTCATCCACCCACTCATGGGTGTTGATGTTAATATTATTATTTATTTAAAAACAATAATTTTTTTAGTTTTTATATAAATAAAAATATTATTATTTAATTTTTTATTTAAAGATATTAATTTTTAATATTTTTAATTTAAAGATTAATTTGATGATAAATGAGTTTTTTCATTGAAATATCAAAAATTGACATCAATAAATAAAATTAATAAAATTAATATTTTTAAATAAAAAATAAAAAATTAATATTTTTATTAACATATTTTCTCCAATGATTAATTTAAAAAGATTAATTCGAAGTCTCAAATTCTTTTCAATTGGTATATGCTTTAGGTACTACCAGCTCTTCAATTATTATACTTGGTTGCGGTTCTGCCTGATCTTCAATTATTATTCATTTCTAGTTCTTATCATTACAGGATCAGAGAGATCATCCATGGCAGCTGCACTGGAGAAAAAAAGAAGCATTCTGATGTTACCCTGGTTAGCCCATGGGCATATATCATCCTTCTTGGAGTTAGCCAAAAACCTTGCTCGGAAAAATTTCCACATCCTTTTCTGTTCTACGCCTATTAATTTAAAACCCATCAGAGAGAATTATGAGCTGATGAATTCAATTCAGTTTATAGATCTTCACCTTCCTCCATCAGAGGAACTCCCTCTTCATTTTCACACTACCAAAGACCTCCCTCCACACCTCATGCCCACCCTTAAAATTGCCCTTGATGAGGCCAAACCAGAGTTTTTTAGTATTCTTAGGACCTTTAAGCCTGACCTTGTCATATTTGATTTCTTGCAGCCATGGGTTCAGGTGGCGGCTAAGGAGCAGGGTATTGAAGCTGTTGTGTTCATGACTGTTGGTGCAATGACTAGTTCTTTCTTGGTCTATTATAGTATCTCAGATGATTCAGGAAAGGAATTTCCTTTTCAGGAAATCTATTTCCCAGAATCTGAACGCCAAGAAATGCTGCTATCCATGCATGATGCTGCTAACGGGAAGACTAGTGGAGAGAGGTGCTTGGAATCCTTCAAGAAATCTTCCAACTTTGTCTTGATGAGGACATCAAGAGAGATAGAAGGGAAGTACATTGATTATCTTTCTACATTAGTAAACAAAGAGATGGTCCCAGTTGGTCCTCTTGTTCAGGAACCTGTATTCAATGATCAGGATACAGTGATGATCATGAACTGGCTGAGTGAGAAAGAACCTTCCTCTGTTGCTTATGTTTCCTTTGGAAGTGAGTATTTTCTTTCTAAAGAAGAGATGGGGGAGATAGCTCTTGGGCTGGAGCTTAGCAAGGTTAGCTTCTTTTGGGATGTGAGGTTTCATGGAGGAGACACGGGCTGGACTAGCATTCATGAGGTCTTACCGGATGGCTTTTTGAGGAGGATTGGGGAGAGGGGAATGATTTTTGAAGGGTGTGCACCACAAGTAAAAATCTTGAGTCATGAGAGCATTGGAGGGTTTGTAAGTCATTGTGGATGGAGTTCAACACTTGAGAGTATGATGTTCGGGGTGCCAATTGTAGCCATGCCAATGCAACTTGACCAGCCTTTGAATGCCAAGTTGATAGTAGAAGTCGGTGTTGGAAGAGAAGTGCCAAAAGAGAGTGGGAAATTCAAGAAAGAAGTGGTAGCAAGGGTGATCAAAGAAGTTCTTTTTGCAAAAGAAGGGGAAAGAGTAAGAATCAGAGCTAAAGAATTGGGCAAGAAAATGAGAGAGAAAAGAGGTGAAGAGATTGATGTGGTAGCAAAGAAACTAGCACAGCTTGTTAAGGATTAATCTAGGACTTGTTGCTTTTTGTAACAAGTACAATAGGGAATGAACCATGGGATTCTGTTTTAGCACTCTGTCCCTTGAAGTAAACAGGGGAGATAAAGTTGAACAATTAATAGTTTTATAAGTTCTGTAATGAAATATCCTTTGAAATCTTTTCTTATTTTGATTATTTTGCCATTGGATATTCAGGTTTTGGTATCTGCATTTAATGACATGATTATGTTCCTCAAAATGAAAGGATCCAACACATTATTCTCTGTTTGCATCATACACCATTTGCTTTTTCAAAGTTTAAGACAGGAATTGCATAGGCAAATTAGGTTTTTTTCTTTTGGGAGTCCATGAGCATATATTCACCATATGCTGTTTTTGTTTAATGGATGAGAAAGCATATGCCATAAATTGATTACAAAGAAGCTGCATGTTTCGTAACCAACTTTCCTAACTCAGCAAAGAAAAACTAGAGAAAACAACAGAAGACCAGACATTAGAGAATGAGAACTCCAATTACAGCACACAGAAACATATCTTATTGTTGAAGTTAGCACATCTCAGCGTAGGCTTTCAATGTTTCTGCTCAGCTCCTCCAGCTTCTTCATCCTCAATCTCTCGCTTTCACTTGCCAGCTAACAATTGATTCACAGAAGAGAAAGAGGAAAAGAAGAAAAGAATGTGTTAATTGGAGATTCCCAAACATAGTTCTATTTAAATGCAAGTAATTAAGAAGAGATATACACCTCCATCAATTTGCTAACCAATTGAGTTTTCTCCTTATTCTTCTCATTGAAGGCTTCAAGGGCTTCTTTATATTCTCTTTCCTATGGTGACAAAGCATAAAAGTTTACTTTATATTATGATAACCTGAAAGCAAAAACTGAAAAATGTTTAACCTTCTTTTGGCAGCTCAATCCCAATGGCCTTAGTTCCCGGTTAACCGTGTCTATCTTCTTACGAACCGTGGAGACCTCCTTCTTCATTGGATCTATAAGTGCTTCAAGTTCCTGAAAGATTTGCAGCAGTTCAAAGGAGAACTCATGCTAACATTAGCTATGATGATCCTAGCTAGCAACTTACTTCTTGAATCTCAGCCAAGCGCCTTGTTTCTTCTTGCACACGTCCAATATGAGCATGAACTTTGTCCCTAACCTCCATCCTCTTCATCTCAATCTCTTCTTCTTTCACACGAAACAATGCCAATGCAGATCTTGTCATTTCCTCCTCCCTTTCATCCATTAGCGGGCTTCCATTGCTGTTGATCATCCCTGAGTTGTTGTTTACTTGCTGCATCAGTGATTGTTGTTGCTCCCATATATGCTTTGGTGTTGCCATTAATGCCTCTGCAGTACCCTTCTTTTCTTGCCCCAATCCTCTTTTCCCCTACCGCTGGTGATTATATGAAACCATTTGGCTTATTTTAAAAACCCAACACATAAAATATGATGTGAAATTATCATGATGCTTGCTCCATTTATAATCATGAAACTAAAGAGATTTCAACTTTGTTGAACAGAGACTTCATCAAAATTCCCTTCCATCTTTACTTTAACCCATCTTCATTACATGTTGGTACAGTTCCTGTATTCATACGAAATCCATACATTTTCTAGGCTTTGATAAAGGGTGATTAATTTCTCTTGGTAAAATAGGTATTTTCATCCCAAGTTGGTATGTTGACAAATTCAGTTAATTACTGTAGTCGGCTTCTACCAACATCAAATATTCCATAATCTATACCTACATATGATAATAATAAATTATATAAAAAAAGATAACTTTTTTTTTTAAATTCTTCTCATTTAACTCAAAATTCAAATTTATATTTTTAATTTAAAAGTTTAAATTTTTAATTATTAAATTATTTCATATGATTATTCATAATTTATATTTGTTAGTATAAAACCACAATGCTGCAAAGCATTACAAGGGGAAAAAAAAAATCTGAACATTTTTGTGTATATTTAAAGAAAAACATAATAATTGGTGATGAAATCATTTTTTCTCGGATTCGAAAGTAGCAACATTGCATGTAATAATGAGGATAGGATGTGAATTGATTAATTTTGGTTGAGATGTCCAGAAATGAGAAATGTATTGGTAAATCTTTTTTTTCCTTGAAGATGAGTGCTTGACTGCTTGGTATGCAAGTTTTACGTGGTGTGCATAAAAGAGCCTTTACCGACAAATCAATAAGAAAGATATTTACTTAAAGAGTTGTGGTTAAATTAATAAGAAAACTTGTCCTTAATATCTAAAAATTACATTAGATTTTAATTAATTTAAAATCAAATAACATTTAACTCTATCAAAGACTCAAATTTAGAGTCAGGTTACATTAGATCCTTAAAAAAAAAACTCTTTTAAATTTTATAATTTTTTTCATTTGAATCAATACATCATTGATGTTTTCTTTTGTTAATTAGAATTTAATTAATTTTTTTGTGAAGATAATAAAAAAAATATTTTTTTATAAATTTTTTGACATAAATTCTTATCTTTTAGTGAGAAAAAAAATAATTTTAAAATACATATAAGTAGCCAAAATTTTTCATAACCTCTAAACCCAAAAAAAAAAAAAAAAAAAAAGAGAGAAAAAAGGGAATTTGACATACAAGGCCCTCATTCCATTTCAGTGTATTACAATCTATTCCATTGCAGATAGGGATGTCAACGAGTCTTCCGAGGCTGAGAGGTCTCTCCTTGTCCTCATACTCGTCCTTGCAAATGATAAGGATAAAGATCCTGTAAGGATTTTTAATTGAGGATAAATTTTTTCTTCTATCTCCGTTCCCGTGAGGATCTCATTCTTTACCAATTAATATAAAAAATAATTTTTTTACATATAATTAATTAATATTTAATTATAAT